TCTCTCTCTCTCTCTCTCTCTCTCTCCTCTGCTTGGTCCTTTTTAGTCTTGTAGCCTAAACTACCTTAGACAGCACAGCTCAGAGCAGTCAGGTTGGCCCAGAGTACTGGGAGAAAAGGCTGCAGCCAGACCCAACTAACATCTCACCTGCTCCCCAGATGTCCAGGGTCAGGAGATGGTACAATTGGCCAGTCCATGCTGGGACATCTTCTGGGCTTCACTGTCTTGCTTCTGAGAAAAGTCCTCTCCATCCTGCCCCTGGCCCTATGCAAAGCATCCTCTGTCCATTTTGTGGTGCCTAGCCTTCAAGGCAACACTGGAGGCCCAGAGGGCTTGGGATGAGAGGGAAGAAGTGGCCAAGCAAGCCTTGAATTTGGGGCTGGGCATGATGGTGCTCATCTAGAATCCCAACTCTTGGGAAGCTGAGGCAAGATTGCAAGTGTGAAGACTGCCTGGGCTATACATTGAGACCCTTTGTCAACAAGCAAACAACCCCTCAGTTCCAAAGAAAACCCCTTAAACCCAGGACGGTTTCTCAGCTGCATTCTCAGTGAGCAGATTCCCCACTGGGCAGGACAGCTCATGCATTTCAGATGTGTGCTATCCTTGACTCTGTCCACTGGATGTCAGGACTCTCCCCCAAGCCTCTGAGGAAGGAACCCAGGTAAGCCAGCTTCTCTCAGGCCTCAGAGCTGTCTGTCCATGGGGACAGTGGTCCTGGTGGTTAGCTTAGCTGTCGTGCAACATTCCAGGACTCCAGAAGCGTGCTCTTCCCTTTCCAGAATTGTAAGTCTGACAGAGAACTGCCCTTTTGGCAGGGAGACCCAAGAGCCTTCAGTCCTTCATGCTTATCTGTTGAGGTAGCCCCTACATTTACCCCTTAGTATCTCAGCTGGGTCCTTTGACAAGCCATTCTTCTGGAGCCTGTCTAGGGGACTGGGGGTGGAGGGGTTGGGCTGTACATCTTCAGCAAGGTTCACAAGGTATGAGGCCACAAGGGGGCAGCAACCAGCCAACAATGGCCCTGTGCCAGGGGATGGAGCAGTGGAAGGAACCCCCTGGGATGTCTGTCTGAGGAAGGGGGAACCTGTGACTTCTACCTCCATGAAGCTCTACCTGCTGTTATCCTGTGGTCATGGGGCTGCCCAGCAGATTCATGCCCTGCCAAGGGATTGTGAAGACAAATTAGATGACCTCCAAGTGCGGGTCCAGTCCCAAGCCTGTCACTCTAGCCTGGGCAGGTGCCTACTCATTCTGAGCCTCGGATTTCCCATCTATAAACTGGATATAAGGACACTGACTACAGCCCCTTTCTTCACAGGGCTGGTGAGGAGATCAAGTGAAGTTCCTGGGCAGAAGGAATGCACTGCCAACTGTAGAGTGCGATGGGCTTGGGAGGCTGTGCTGGATCTCCATGGCAGGCACTGACACCAGTGGGTCCCACTAGTCACCACCACATCTGTCTTCCTTTTCTCACTTCTGTTTCCCAGTCAGCTGACCAAGGGGTGTTGCCTGCCACCGTTCCTAGGGGGACAGAGGCAGGGACTTGACATATTCTTCCTTCCATAATCCATGTGTGGCTGGAGTCTCTTCTGCTTAGCCAGGAGGCTGTGCATATCAGGACTTTCTGATGAGGCCAGCCATAGTGTGACCCTCATTAGATCTTAGTCTTTGGAGGAAGGAGGCCCAAGATATTGTCACCGTGGGTCCCTTCTACAACCACAGGAAGAGCTTGCTTTTTCCATTTGTGAAAATAGGCACATTTGCTGGGCCTCTCTGAGTGATTCTAAGGACCAGATAGGTTAAGACATGGGCCTATTCTGCAGGACTGTGGTTATTACTTGGTCTTGGAGAAGGGGGAGGATGAGCCAGCCAGGGGGGTGCTTTGGGGTATCTTACTTGTCCTAGACTCTGTGCATTCCATAAGGTTAAGCCTCACTGAACCCTGACTTGAGTTTTGAGCATTAGGGTCTCACGTTACAGATGAGGTGGCAGGAAGCATTATGTAAGATGCTGGAACAAGGGCTGGGGATAGAGCGCAGTTGGTAGAGTGCGTGCCTACACATCAGCTTACAGAAGGTCCTAGGTTTGACCCTCAGCACTGTATAATCCAGGTATGGTGGTACACACCTGTAATCTTAGCATTTGGTAGTAGAGGCAGGAGAATTGGAAGTTCAAGGTCATCCTTGGCTACATAGTGAGTTCAAGGCCAGCCAGCAAGGCTATACGGGGGGAAAACGTGGGGGCTACAAGTTCCATATTTTTCTTTAAAATATGACATTGAGTGGAGCATGGTGGTGCATGTGTTTAATCCCAGCACTCAGGAGGCAGAGGCAGGCGGATCTCTGTGAGATCGAGACCAATCTGGTCTACATAGTGAGTTCCAGGCCAGCTGGGGCTATAGGGAGACCCTGTCTCAAAAAGACAAAAAAAAAAAAAAAAAAAAAAAAAAAAAAAAAAAGACACTAATGCTTTTCTCATTGAGAGGTGGGTCTGTTTTCCTCCCCTTAAATTGGGATGAACCTTTGACTCTGGCAGAAGCTGATACCATATGACTTTGAAAGTATGTCCTTATAAGGTGACACACCTTCCTGAGAATCCAGTTTCCATGCTATGAGGAACTCTAGGCCATGTAGAAAGCCATAGGTAGGCAAGCGCAATGGCCATCAGGTCCTAGCTGTCAAGGGACTAACCACTAGATGAGGGAGAATCTGAAAGAGACCCACTCAGCTGAGCCTATCAATTGTTAGAACTGAGAGAATCAACATTTTTTTTTTGGTCTTTTGAGACAGGGTCTCCCTGTAGCCCCAGCTGTCCTGGAACTCACTATGTAGACCAGGCTGGCCTTGAACTCACAGAGATCCGCCTGAGTCTGCCTCCTGAGTGTTGGGATTAAAGGTGTGCGCCACCACGCCCGGCTGAGAATCAACATTTTAAGGAAACAAGTTTTGGGGTGCTGTTATGCAACAGTCCTTGCTAAGCACAATGGAAGGACACACAGGGGTTTAGTGACATGAAGTGACTGGTTTCAGGACTCGGCTGGCAAGTGTGGGATGGGTCTTGAGCCTGTGTCTGTCTACCTCCTGATCTTGAACTCTGGTTTCTGGAACTCTGGTTTTTCCCTTTCTCAGAGGGAGTCCCTTTCCCTCTCCAGCCAGAAACTGTCAGTATAAAACTCAGTCAGAGGTGCCCAGGGCTGTCTGCAAAGACAGGCACACCCAGACACACATTTGTGATTTATTACACACAGCGATGCCATTACATAGAGAGGAGAGGCAAGACACAGGGATAGAGCTGGTAGCTGGGAACCTTTGTCAGAGGTGGCAAAGCCTCTCCTCAGAGGGGAGGGGGCTCTGTTGCAGGTGCTCGGCTGAGACCTGCTGTGGACCAGCCTTGGGGTTCATGGCCTCTGTAGCACTCACCAGAAAGCCCATTTCTGCCAAGCTGACCAGAATTCCGAGCGGGAGACCTGGGGTTAGTGAGACCTATCTCCTTAGGTGGGTAAAGCCCCTTTCTGTCCCTGTTCTAGGCAAGGTGGTAAGGAGACAGGAAGTAGCAGCCAGTGCACGAGAGCCTCTTTACCCCCTCAGTCAGAGGACACTGGGCTGGCTATAGCTGGCTCCACACTGTGACATTCACAGCCCTTCCACTTCTCAAGGCCAGAGTCATGTTCTTCTGACAGGCTAGCTTCGGTCTATTGCCGGCGTGGTCTACTGAGCTTGGGTGGAGCTTTCCATTGCCTCCTCCCTGAGTGATGGGTTCTAGGGAACCTTGTCCTGCCCTGGTAGACTCAGGGTCCTGGTGCAGCAGACTGGCCGAGTCCAGAGGCTAGAAGTCATGGCAGATGCAGCTGCTGTCCATCGGGGTCTTATGGGTAAGATGTGAAACTGGGGCAGTAGTGCTTCAGGGGACAGCTGCGCATCTCTGCTAATCAGGTGATTGAAGGCCCAACCTGGAGTCTGTCCAGCCTCATCCAGTTTGGCTGTTTCCACCTTCGTTTCCTTCCCTGGGGAAGGTATGCCCTGTAGGGCCCCTTCAAACACAAACTTCCTCAGCCTGTCTGCTTTTCTGCCGGCTTCCTGTATGGATTGTCCTGGGGCTGGCTGGCATGCTCTCAAATGTTACAAGGCCATAGTTGGCGCATCCCATAAAAGAAGATCAATATATTACTGTTTTGTTTTTACAAAAATTAAAAACGTCCACACGGGTCTGTACAGATTGGGAGCCATGTCTGGGGATCACTGGAAAAGAAAGAGACCGAAGGTGATGAAGGGGCCTAGAGAGGTCTTGTGGTCCCAGCCAGCAACCCCATCCTACCCATTTCTTCAGGAACAAGGGTGGCCTCACCTTTCTGCCCAGGCCCCTCTCAGTAGCACAGTTAGATGACCCCCAGGAAGCCCTGATGGTTTTGCATTGGCTAGGCCAGGTGCCAACTGAGGCCTAGATGACCCACAAGGTAGATGACACACCTTAGCCAGGACCAAGCCCCAAGCCTCAGCCATGTGACAGCAGAGTCACAAACATTGTTGGGAAACCTGGCTATTCAGTGACTGTGTCAGATGGTGGTACAGAGACTCAGACTTTTGGGTGATGGTGCCTGGTCCCCGGGCACCCTCTATAATCCTCTAACTTCTCTGCTCCTATTCCCCCAGGCCCACCCTTGAGACCCTTCCCTCTTAAATACCTTATGCCAGCAGCCAGGCACAGGCAGCCCATCTGGGCCCTGGAAAGGAAGGAGGTTTCAGTGACAGAGGCGGGAGGCTCATGGTCTGTCTACACCTCCATTACCCTTCCTGGATCTGTAGGAAGATGCCGCCAGGAAGCCACCACAGGAAGCCACTGGATTCCACTAAGGCAAGGCTGGGCATCTCCTCTGCCCATCTGAGGACACGATGACCCCTAACTGCACTTGTCCCATGTTCTCACTGTGCTTTGTCGGGAAACCTCAGCAACCTGGGCCCCTGGAGGGGGCAGCATGGCTTCCTGGCTGCCATGCTGAATGTGGCTCTGGCCCTTCAGCCTGGGGCTCTGAGAGCTTTCAGGCTTTGGGCAGGGATTCCTCTGACAGAGTAACAGTGCAGGAGGTGGCATCTCTCAGCCTTTCCTGCTTTCCTTGATTAGATCTGTGAGGCAAACAAGGAGTACTCAGATTATCAGAGTGAACCCTGGGCATGGGAAATGGGGTGTCTTGAGCCCCCAACAAGGTCAGTCATGAGCAAGAATGGGTTTCCTCAGGTGGCCTGGAGGGCTGGGGAGCTGGAGGGGAACAAAATGTAAAGTCCCTGGGTGGGCCCTGAAGCATAAAACACTCCACTCTGTTCTGAAGTATAGACACAGGCCAGAGACACACAGGGCACACTCCCTGTACCCCTCCCACGTGCATGCCAGAGGCAGAGTCTGGGGACCAGAGGGAGGGAAGAAGAGGTGTAGATGCACCAGAAGGCAGAATCGGGGAAGGGAAGAGGCAGAGGCAGAAGCACAAGCAGCCCAGAAGGCCTAGCATAAGACACACAGCACACAGCAGGCCAGACTGCATACCATAGGGCAGGGCCCGCTGGCCCTCACCAGGCCCTGGGAGCCTGGGGCCCCTTGCTTGCCTCCATATCGAGGAAAGTCCTATGTCAAAGACAAAGGTTACTGACTTGGAGGAAGTTTTGGCCCAGGTTCTGGGGCAGCAGAACTAGGCCTTCCTATCTACCCAGCTGTCCCTTTTGTGTGTGAGTCTGTGGGTATCTATGTATGCACATGTATACAGATGGCTGTGTAGGTCAGAGGATAACCTTGGGTGTCAGTCCTCAGGTACCTTCTTATCTTTTGTTTGAGACAAAGTCTATTGCCTTGAAACTTTGCCAAATAGCCTAGGCTAGCTGGCCAATGGGCTCCAGAGATCTGCCTGTGTCCACCTCCCCAGTGGGGTATTAGAAGTGTACACCACTGTGCTGGCTTTTTATGTGGGTTCTGGGAATCCAAACTCAGGTCCTTGCACTTGCAAGGCACGTACTTTCCAAACTGAGCCATGTCCCTACCCCTAGATGTCTCATTGAGACAGAGTCTCACTAAGTAGTGGAGGCCTCAAACTTGCCATCCTCCTGCCTCAGGATACCGAGAGCTGGGATTACAGGCCTGGGCCACCATGCCCTGCTGGGCTCTGGCCTTTGTGTGTGTTACCTCTGCCTTCAGGCCTTTTTCTCACTGACCTCTCACACCCACCTGGAGGGAAGAGAGGAGGAAGATAAAGAGGGCTAGTGAGACTCAGCAGAGACCAGAGGACTGATTGGAGGTCCCTGGCTCTGGGTAAGTCTGCCCACTTCTCAAGCTGCTAGCTGGGGTGGCTGGGAATGAACATCTGGTCAGTTTAGTATGGAAACCTGACTCTTACATTTTCCTGCTTTTACTGAGTTCCACAGGAAGAACTTGACATGTAAACCCTCTGGTTTTCTAGAAAACAGGAACTGAACTACGGCAGTGTCAGGCACCAGGGATATTCAGAGCCATTGTGGGCCAGCAAGAAAGGAGACAGATAAATGGGGAGGAGGGAAAGGAAGGGCCTCTAGGTTTATGGAGGGGAACTAGGGAAGAGGCCGGACTATTAGACCAGAAAAAGACACTCAGAAGGGGAGGGGAGAAGGGAAGTGAGAAACCTAGGGAGGGCAGGGTGGTTCTGTTTTCCCTATGACTGAGGAAGCCCTGTCTCAACCCAGCATGGCCTCAGGTCCAAAAGACATCAGACCCCACTGGGGTTACTGAGGTGGTCATAGTCTGGGCTGGGTACTCACTTTGTATACACCAAGCTTGTCTGTGACGGCTGGGCTTCCCATCCCAGTCCCTAGCCCCCTCCCAGGGCACCTCATGACTCTGGGAAAGCCAATCCTGCTCCTGCTCTGGCTTCTCTCTACTCCTAGCCCAGACTGACCCAAGATGGCTTCTCATTCAAGCCCTGCTCAACTTAAGGCTGAATTAAAAGGGAAAGTAACCAGGGGAAGTGAATGCCTCCTGGCTAGACCTCCACCTCCACAGACAGCTACATCTCACAGCCACACTGATGGGGGGGTCAGGATCACAGGACAAGGAGCTGATGCTGCTGATGGGAACTGTCGGGGCTCCATGCTGCTGAGACACCTACCACAGGACATGGCTGGTCAAGGCCTGGCGGCCCTGGTTCTCCCTTCTGGCCCTTCACTCCTTTCCGACCAGGAATCCCTCGCTCCCCCTGAACAGGAAGGAGATGGTAAGAGTGCCTGTGGTTTCCAGACTTAGGACCCCTCCCCTTCCACTCAGTGAGATACCCCACGATCCGGCAGTCACCAGACACTGTAGCTTTCAGCCCAGCCTCCACCTCCCCACCTGCCTGCCCCACCTGTCTTCCTCCTTGCTCTTACTTTCTCTCCACGTTCGCTCCGGTCGCCTTTCTCTCCCCTTGGTCCAGGGAAACCCTGACAGAAGGATGAGAGGTTAAACCTGAGAATGAGGGCGGGCCCACTTCTCTGTGAACCGTCACCTCTGCTCCACTCCCACCACCGTCTCCATCCGTGCATAACTGTGGTACAAACAGCCAGGACCTGGTTGTTAGGCCATGCACACACTGGGGACCAGGTGGACACCGGGAAAAATGCATTCAGGACATCAGCTCTGCTCCTTCAAGGGGGACCACTGTCTGGCTGGAAGTCCTCAGTCAGGCAGAGCTGCTGGTGAGGGGCTTTTCCTCATGTCACAGTCAGATGTTACTGGCACTGGCCCAGGATTACCTGGGATAGATGGAGGAAACCCATGGACACTCTATTGCCATTTTGACAGACTGAGAGGCTGACTTCTGCTCTCTGCCCTAGGCTCAATTTCTTCAATGTTCATCAATTTGTCTAATGACCATTCATCCAACTTCATGACTAAGCATCGTATGGCCTGGGCTGTGGGACGGATGCTGAGAGAGAGATGGATTTGATGAGTTCCCTCCTTGAGTCTACTGGGGCAGGCTGTGGAGTGCTGATGAGAGTCCTGCTCAGCAACAGACCTGAGATAGGCCTGGTGGGGTGATAGGGGACTGGCTGTTCCACTAAGGAATGGGTGTCACAGGAAGCTTCTGAGCAGGGTCTGGTGGAGGAGGGCAGAGGAAATGGCATGGCTCTTGGTGCTGCCCTGAACCACTGTAGAAGGTGGCTGAGGCTACACTCATGGTGGAATGGACTCTGCTCCAGATGGAATTCAGCACTGTTGTTCTCTAGCTTCGGCTCACTAATGGAACGTGACCCTCCCTCAGGAGGCCTGGCCAGTGACTCTCTGCCTAGTCCACACTTGCTCCATAAGGCAGCGCTACTCTCTCCTTAGTCTAAGGTGCACTGCAGAGGACCTGCAACCCTGTATCTGGTCTCGGTTTCCTCCCACAGCCTCCTGCTCTCTCTTGGCTCCCCCTTCCTTTCTCATATTCACTGACCATGCCAGCTCCAGATGGCAGGGGTTCAAGCCTGGCCAGTGAGGAAGCTGCCCTCCTACAACCCAATGAGTTGAGAGTCAAAGAGACTTGCTCTGTAGAAAGAGAGGGAGGCAAACCTTTCTTCTGAATTTGGGCCCAGGAAGATACAGGGCCTGGTTTAAGCAGAGCTCCTTGTGATTACCACATTGGGAAAGCAAAGACCAGAGAAGGCTGGGTGGTGTGGCCATGGTTGTGCTCTGGACACGTGTTAAATCTCTAGACTTTTCAGTTAGGAGTAATTTTTAACCAGTTTGAACTAGGCTTTGTTTACGCTGTTACCGTAGGAGATAGGATACAATCAACATCGAGATAACGCCTCTGTCTTCTTACAATACTTCGCTAACCAAGGCCTCATGGTTGCTTACGAAGATGTTGTGGCAGGCTCCTCACTGCTCTCCTTATTCCCTGGCACAATGTATCATCTGTCCATCCAGCCCTCAGCTGTCCAGCATCCATCCATTCACTCATTCATCCATCAATCCATCTCTACATCCCTCTCTCCCTTAGTCACCACTCATCCATCCATCAGCCATCATCCATCATCCATCTATACATTCTCATCCATCCTTCCACCCATCCATCATCCATTCATTCACTCATCCATCTATCCATTCTTCCCCATCTACCCATCTATCCACTAGCTCATTCATCCATTCTCCACTCATCCATTTATCAAGTCTCCACTGTCCCTTTGTCATCCATCCATCACCTATCCCCAAAGCTCCTACTCAAGGCTGTCACTGGTCTTGGCATTCAGGGGGAACCAGTTATCAGCAGTCCTGGGGAATGGGTCACATTTGAACTAGTCAGGTTGCTACATGCATGAATAGTATGATGATGGAAAACACACACAGGAGGGACTCAGTCGCTCACAGCAAACCATCCATGAGAAACTTACATCAAGTCCTGGCTCCCCTGGTCTGCCCTGTGGAGAGATATAGAAAGGGGCATGAGGGGATGTGGAGTGGGGGTTGGGAGCTTAGCTGCTGGGGAGTTCAATCCTGTGACTGGTAACAGGCATGGAGGCCTTGTAGGATAATGTCACAGAGCCATAATTCCTGGACCTGTGGGATGCAGGGACTCATCAGGGCACAGGGGATAAGCCACAAAGGCTGAGTAGCATGACAGACATGTGGCCACAGTGTGCTGGGGTATGCAGGGAAGGGGATTACCTTCTCTCCCTTGGTTCCTGGCAGGCCAATAAGGCCCGGTGGACCAACTGGCCCCTGGATGGAAAAGAAGAGGGTCAGGAGGAATGGTGGGAATCGACACAACACCTCTACAGGACAAGCAAGGCTTATGACACTCACAGGCAGGCCAGGAGGGCCTCTCTCACCCGAAGCACCCTTCTCTCCCTTTGCTCCATCCAGGCCCTGGAAGTAATGGGGAAACCAGTCAGGGGAAAGCAGTCAGAGAAACAGCAGGACAGGAAAGTTTGGGTCTATGTGGGGGCTGTGGTGTGTTCTGGTCCTCAGGCCTGCTGCTGACTGGTCCCTCTGTGTTCTCAGTGCCAAATCTAGTGGCCTCCTTGAGTAGAATTTTTGGTGATGGGTAAAGGATGGATGACAAAGGGGCAGGTAGACAGAGGGACAGGCTCCAGGCTCTACCAGGCCTGGCTCCAGCTCACTCCCAGAGGAAATGATGGGAATGAGCTGTGTGTGTACAATTCCCCTCTTCTCACATACAGGGCCCCCAGAGATCATGGGGGCGGGCTACGGTCACTGTCACTCCATAGAATGGGGCAGGGATGAACAGCAACACATCCAGGTTCCTGAGGCTCAGTTTTCAACCTGGCCCAGACAGCAGCTGCCTCTTCTAACCATGGTTTGCTGAAGCTTTGGGATAAAACAGGACCAGAAGCTGTGTTTGGACACCCACCAGGTCAAGGTTCCATGACTTGGAGTCCCCCTAGGGACCTGGGAATGAAGGATTAGATGCTGTGTGACAAGGGGGGTAAGGCCAGCTCGCCTTCTGCTCTGTGTCTGCCTCCTGAGAGATAGGCACATGGTAGAACACACTTGAGGTTTTGATTTAAGAGTCAGGACATGAAGAAACACACACCAAACCTGAGATTTCAAGTCCAGGCTGGGGATAGTCAAGTCACAGATGTGTGTGGGGAGAGGCAGAGAGAGGATAGAAAGGGGGCAGAGAGGAAGGTAAGGAAATGGGCAAGGAGGGATGGGAGATGGGCTGGAGGAGGGAGGCAGTTGGGTACCCAGGCAAAGGGCGAGTGAAAGAACAGTGTCCCAAGCCTGGAGGAGAGGCTGCTCTGAGGACATCAGGAAAGTGATGGTCTGGGCTGAACAGAAGCCTCACTCTGTACATTAGCAAAGTTTTTGAGTGAGCAGAGGGTCTCCACATACTCACCTTGGGGCCTTGGATCCCCTGAACACCCTGGAGGAGGAAAGAGCACATTACTTGGGCCAAAAGGCTGAGCACAGACTTCAAGGCCCAGGCCCTCTGCATCAGGCTAGTTGCTGGCTCCTGTGGCCCTGACTCCAACTCTGCCCTTTTGACTGGATATGCCCTGCTCCCCTGATGAAGAAGCCTGTCCTCCCCTGGGCTTCATGGGCCTGGACTCACCACCCTCTTGGCATTCTAGCTGTTTTAAACCAAATTGTCCTTACCATGGGGCCCGGGGGGCCAGGAGGACCAGGAGGCCCTGGCTCCACTATGATCTGGGCCTAGGAAGGGTCAGAAATGTGTTAGTCACTCCCTGCTGATCACCCCTCACCTGCCCACACTCTGGAGCCCCCACACTCTGGCAAGCACTCCTAGGTACCACACTTTGACTTCTGCCTGCTCCCAAGAGGGCTACCCTAGTGAGGGACCCAGACAGGGCTACCCTAGTGAGGGGCCCAGCGGTTGGTCTTTGGGGTCTCAGCTGGGCCTGAGTTGGGGGACACAGTCCAAGACTCCTCACTCCCCCCTCCCCCACTGTCCAGGGTTGGATCAGGTCAGATAGACTCTTTTTGTGCCAAGGCTCAGGGCCCCCAACTGAGTTTGCGCTGGGCGTGGGGGAGCCCCGAGCCTCAGTACCCCCTTACCAGGCTTTCCTGTAGGTGATCAGATGCCGACTCTCCCTTCTCTCCCTTCTCTCCCTTGGGACCATCAGCACCCTGCAAGACAGGGTGGCCTGTGAGCTCTTTTTGGCCATCCTAAGGTCACTTCCTAGGGTGCTCAGCTGCCTCCCTCCCTGCCCCTAACCACCCCAGGGATGAGTTGGCCTCTGAAACTTAAAGAAGTTTTTCCCCAAATCAAACACCCTGGACAGGGAGTAGAGTGGGCATTTCCACAGCATATACAAATTGTGTCTTGTGGTGCAGGGGTGACCAGGGGCTGTGGAACAAAGACCTGGGTTCAAATCCCAGTGGCACCTCTGGCTGATCATCCTCAGGGGTGCACAATGGCTGTGACAGCAGGTGTTCAGTTGTCACTCTCAACCCCATCCAGAAGCTCTCATGAGAGTGGGAAATGACCACTCCCATGTAAACAGCAAGGAAACTGAGACCTCGGGAGATTTGCTTGCTGTGCAAGTCTCCAGGGCTGGGACCTAGGGTAGCTTGCCCTGGTGGAGTCTAGCCACCGAGCCAAGAGGCTTCAACAGGCCTGGGCCTTCCTACTTTATCTGCAGGGGACCTTGTGGGGTGGGGTGAGGGCCTGCAGGGGGCCTTGTAAGGTAGGTGAGGTTTTCTTTTGGGTGAAGGTTTTTTTTACAGCTAAAGAAGTGGCGGCTTGTAGGGCAGTCTTGGTGTGAGCTGACTGGTCCCAAGCTGAACTGGGCTGACATGCAGGGCCTATAGAGGAGTGTGCTCCATCCTCTCCAGCCTGCCTCTCTGACTCCAGAGAGGCAGTGGCTGGCACACATTCACACAAGTACCTCCATTCCCCAAGAGCAGTAACTTCCTAGGTTAGGGCCCAGCCCAGTCACCTACCGGGAGGCCTGATAGGCCCATCTTGCCTGCTTCCCCTTTGGGCCCAACTGGCCCAGCCTCTCCTGGGTCTCCTTTTGGTCCTTTGGGACCCTGAAAGTCACGAGAATAAGGAATGTGTGGAGATTTGTGGGCGTTCTCCTCTCCCCTCACCCTGGTGGGTCTCTGACCTTAACAGGCCTGACCATACTTCCTCCCTCTGTCCCTCTGTCCCTCTGTCCCTCCATCCCTCCATCCCCTCCTCTCCCTCCCTCCCTCCTCCTTCTTCTGTCCCTCCCTTCCTTCCTCCTCTTTTCCTTCCTCCTCTTTTCCTTCTTTCCTTTCTCTCTCTCTCTCTCTCTCTCTCTCTCTCTCTCTCTCTCTCTCTCTGCTCTCTCTGTGCTATATAGTCAAGGATGATCTTGAATACCTGATCCTCCTGCCTTTACTTCCCAAGTGCTGGGGTTATAGGTGTGTGCTATCACACCCAAACTTATATCCTACTTTCTGCTTGTGAGTCCCCACCTCCAGCCTAGGTAGCTGGGAACAGCGACCAAAATGCAGTAGGGGAACTACGGGGAGAAGAAGGGGACACTCCGCCTCTGCTTCCCTGCATGCTTGAGGTGTGTGCTGCTTAGGGTAGGGTGGGGGTATACAGCGAGTATGTGGGATTGGGGTGTCTCTTCTGGGGTACTCATGAGGCTAACTCTGTTTTTAATTTTTTTGTGTGTGGTGCTAGAGATTAAAGCCATGGCCTCATGCATGATAGGTGAGCATTCTACCAGTGAGCTGCATCTCCAGCCCTCATGAGGCCAACTGTGCTCACATGTCAGGAGCTTTGAGTCACAGCATTCCTTCAGTCAAATAATATGCCACATGCAATATGTGCCTCATACTAGGGACCCAGAAGAAAAGACACATCTACAGGTATTGAGTGACACCCCAGAAGATGCTCACTTATGTTCATGTAGGAAGGCACACACACACACACACACACACACACACACACACACACCATGACATCATGCTAATAGCTAATATTTGTGGATTCTTGGCTTCCACACACCAGGCACTGCCTTCTATGGCTTGGAGCCATCAGAGCAGCCTTGGACCATCCTCACCTGTGTCCCAGGAACCTGAGGATACCAGGAAGTGAGCACTACCCAAGGCCTAAGGGGCCGACAGGGTCAGCTCACTGACAGCCTGGCTTCAGGTGTCATGCTTACCTACCCAATCTTAGCCGGTCTCCAACCCCCAGTGGTCTCTAATTCTGTACATGCCCAGCCCAAGCTGTACACACACACACACACACACACACACACACACACACACACACACACACACCAATATCCATATAATATTGGCACAGAAATGAAAGGCCGAGAGACCTTTTCTCCATCGATTCCTGGGGCACCGGGCAATCCAAGTTCACCCTGGAAGGGAACAGATGGTAAAAGCAGTTGTACCTCCCTTAGCCCCCAGTGGGGATTGCTGCCTCCCTGATCAGCTCATAGTCCCTGGGGCTGGGTCTTCACAGATGGACTTTGAGGAAGGTGCCCACGGTCTCCCTCCCTTCATGTACTCAACCCAAGGGGCAGATGGAGTTGATGGTTGTCACCGCTGGCTGGGGTCCTACATATTTGGGAGTTGGAGGGTTCAATGCCTTGTTCTGGGCCCCAGAGCCCAGGGTTGCCAGGGTCAGGACCAGGACCTGCCTCACTTCAGCATCTCGGGCTCTGTAATCTGAGACAAGGGGTGGGTGGATGAACATGTACAAGCCACAGAACAGCTGTGCAGATCAGCAGGCCACTACATTTCTGACAGCCCATCTTTCAATTTTAGGCTTCCCCTAAGCCCTTCAAGGGCAGTTATTTAGGGCCTGAAGAAGGAACGTGGGTTGGTTAGGAAGGAGCAGGGCCCCTTTCTCTGAGCCCCAGAAGCCATGTTAGGATGCCAGAAGGGAAATGGGGTGGAATCTAGAGATGAGAGCTTGGGGGTTCCACGGCTGCATCTACACTGACCTTGGCTCCAGGGATCCCTGGTGGTCCTGGGGCTCCCTGTGGCCCGGGAGGACCCTGTGTGCAAAAATTAAGCCAGTTGTGGTTAGACAAGACCTGCCCCTCCCTGCATACCCAGCCCTTCCATCCGAGACCAAGGCCTCTGAAGCTCGTTTCCCATCCAGTCACATCAGGCCACACCACATGCAGCTTGGTCTGGGCCCTGGGTCTTGGAAAAGGCCTGCAAGAGAGCACTGGGCATTGGGTAAGACACCAGTTCCATTCCAGAAGGCTCAGAAGTTCTCTGACAGTTCTCCAGCACGAATTTCTTTAAAACATTCTCCTGCTTAGGATTCAGCAATGGCTTCTCCTTGTCCCTGAAAGCGAGCTTAAGAAGTCCTTTTCTGGCATTCGAGACAGCTCCAATTTACAACATGAAAATGGCTTGGTTCTGTCATCTCTGCCATCCCTGCCCAGCTGCTCTGGCCCCTCACAAGCTCTCCTCTTCCCAAATGCTCCCCTGCTTGCTGATGTCTCCACTGAGGTCTCTGGGCTTACGTCTTCTCTACCCTTGTCAGCATTTCTAGGCCCAGTTCAGCCTCTCTGATGAGCTCCCTGTATCAAGCTCTCCCACATCCATGCTCACACACTTCCTACACAACTCCTTAGCACATTCTCTTGCTCAAGAACCAGCTATGGTTCCCAGTGTCCTCAGAATTGAGTCCTCGTCCCTCTCTGGCACCCAAATCCATCTCCCAACTTCCTGTGTTCACAGGGCTTCTCCCACATGGCTTCCAGCCAGCCTGGGACACACCATGCATGCATATGCCCCCAGCCCCATACCACACCATGCCACACACACACCACACTATGCATGCCTTGCCACTACACACCACACCATGTCACATATATCACAACATACACCATGCCATGCCATACTACACCACACCATGCCACACCATACCACACTATGCCATACCACAGCACACCATACCACAACAAAGCACAGCACACCATACCACACCATACCATATCACATGACATCATACCATACCATACCATACCACAGAACAATGCACCACACCATACCACACTACAGCACACCATACTGTACTACAGCACACCATACCACACCATACTACAACATACCACACTACACTATACCATATCATACAATACCACACCATAGTACAGCACACACATCATACTATACCACAGCACAGCACACCATACCACAGCACATATACCTTACTATACCACAGCACACCACACCATACCACAGCACACCACATACCATACCATACCATACCATACCACACCACACCACACCACACCACACCACACTACACCACAGCACACCACATATCATACCATACCATACCATACCACACCACACCACACCACACCACACCACACCACACCACAGCACGCCACGCCATGCCACACCACGCCACGCCACGCCACACCACAGCACACCACACCACAGCACACCACAGCACACCACAGCACACCACACCACACCACAGCACACCACACCACACCACACCACACCACACCACACCATATCATGCAGCCTTGTGTGGGCCACAGTTACCATCAGCTTGAACTTCCCTGAGGCCTGTGGGAGGTAACTGGAATTGGAACTTAGGCAAGGTCAGGCACCAGTGCCCAGTCTGGTCTCTGATGAATACTTCACCTCATCCCACATCTCTCCCTGCACCCAAGAGCAGCTGGCACTCAGCTCTCTCTGATCTGATCATGGGCCCAAGTGTTCCAGTCACTTGGGCATGGCTCAGAGACCACATGTATCCCAAGGTTATTAGGTCAGGTCTGTCCCTCCTTGACCCCCCTTGTCCCCCCTCCCTTCTGGTTATTAGAAGCCCTCGCTCTATAGCTAACAGTACCGGGGAAGCCCCAGGAGGGCTGAGTTTGGTCATCAGAAAATGTTCTGCCCTCTACTCCTGAGGAAAGAGCTTTCCTTTTTGCCTTGGCCTCTGGGGAGCTCAGGGCTCCATGGGTCAGCCACAGTAGTCTCCAAACAGGACTGATTTCAGGCACTTACTGAAACTGAGGTTACTGTGCTAAGCTGTTTTTAGCCCCTTGGATAATATACAAAGTGAGCCATTACTCCCTGAGGAATGGACATCAAGGGCACATCCAGGGCCTACCAGGAACACTCCTACCTTCAGGGCATCCAAGATCCTGCCATCATAGTCGATCACCACCGTGTCTCCTTGTTCTCCTTTGAGGCCGGGGAGACCCTGAGAAAGGAGAGGAAGAAATTCAGAGAAGAGATGCACCATGCAGGTGACGTGGCAGTTGTCTCCATCATACCCAGTGATAAGGCACCTCATTACTCAGGGCACACGCACACCGTGCTTGCAGTATGGTTCAGCTCTGTGGTGTGCACAGACCCTCAGATGTGAAGGAAGTGGCAGGGAGCTTGGGGGCTTACTGAGGAACTCACTGCCACTTGGCCTGAGGGGTTGGCTGGGAACACGTGGGTGTTCAGGTTCACGGAGGCTCAATCCTGCAATTCTCGGCAAAACTGGAAAGTCTAATTCTCCTTTTTGAGACAGGGTCTTTAGTTCAAGTTGGCCTCAAACTCAATATGTAGCTGAGGATGACCTTGAACTCCTAATCTTCCTGTTTCTAACTCCCTAGTGCTGAGACTACAGGCATGCACTACCATGCCTGGTTTTTGCACTATTGGGGATCAAACCTAAAGCTTCAAACCCAGGGCTTAGAACCTAGGGCTTTGTGTGTGCTAGGGAAGTGCTCTATGAACTGAACTACATCCCCAGCCCAGACAGCCTAATTTTGATGGGGGCATTCTTCAGACTTTTAAATGTTTGCAAGAAAACAAACCAAAACTGCCCCCACTCCCCTTCTAAGACACTGGGTTTACCAAGGAATGTGCGTGAAGCCTAGATCAGGCCCTATTCCTGCGTTTCTTGGCCTTCGGTAGAGGCCATATATAGTATGCACTAACCTCTCCATGCACTTGTGAGTATGCACAAGCCCACACTCATGCGCACACTCACACACCTGCACATCTGCAGAGGTGTGTACGGCTAACCAAGCCCTTCCCCCAGGAACTACATGTCCCCAACCAGACAGTTTCTGTCAGGAGCACGGGGCCAGCCATGTACACAGAGTCAAGACGGCCTGGGCCTTACTGTGCATTTGCCCTGGGGTTACAACCTGCACCAACCTGTCCAGTTTAGGCACAATCCCGCATTACTGTCTAATCTCATTCTCAGCTCCCTGCTTGGCCAGCCAGGATCTCATGTCTATTATTTTATTTACATATTTTTCCATTTCATATATGTGTTATATGCTTGTGTGTGTATGCATGTTTGCATGTGTGTGGGCATGTGTGTTTGTGGGTGAGTGTACACATGTATGCGTATATGTAGAGGCCCAAGGTTGATGTCAGGAATCATTCACGATTGCTCTTCCACCTTATTCATTGAGGCAGGGTCTCTCAATCAAACTCAGAGTTCACTGATTTGACTAGTCTTGCTAGCCAGCTTGCTTTAAGAACCCTTTAAGCATTTGAGGTTGCCTTAGCACCTGGCACTTACTGGGTTCTGGGGATCCAAATTCTGGTCCTCCTCTTTGTGTGTCCAGCACTTTAACTGCTGAACGATCTCCCCAGCACCCTCATATCTGTTTTGTAGAGGAAGCCAGTCTCTGGGGGTATGGGGGATGTGATCACCTCAGAAGGCAAGGGTGGGATGCTGAAGTCAGCATAAAGACCTGGCCACGTGAAGCAAGACAGCTAGCTAGGAGATGAGGCTTTGTGCATGCTAGGGGACATAGGAAGGGAAAGACCCCTCATTCTCTTGGCTTCCATTTCCATCTCTAGCTGGCTGACGCTGGGAGTTTTCAGCATAACTAACCAGACCACCCGAGTAAAGAGCTGGACCCTCCTTCTGACAAACATCACTGACTAGGTTGTTAAAAATAACTAATGGACTAGGCCTCGAGTCCAGCTTCTTTGTCACACACACAGAGACCACACACACACACACACACACACACACGTCCTCTGACTAATGTTTTCTCTCTCCTAACTTTCTTCTTCAACTGGAAGCCTTCACTATACCAAAAGATGGTCTCTTGAAGGACAGAATTTTATGAAGAAGAAGGCAATCCACTAGAGATACTTTCCATACTATCTAGCCTCTGTTGCAGATTAAGTGGCTTCAAAGACTCAGGTGACACCTGTGGCTGAGGCACTTAGGCAAGCTCCTCTCCTAACTCCTGCACTTGACTCTCTTCAAGTGCTGTCTTTCTGCTGTATCAAGAAACTCACTGATTTTGCTTTGTTCTTGGGGCAGGAGAGACCGTGGTTTCATATACCTTTAGTCCCAGCACTTGGGCAGCAAAGGCAGGCAGATCTCCGTGAGGTTGATGCCAGCCTGGACTACATAGTGAGTTCCAGGCTATCTGGGGCTACAGGGACACATTGTCTCAACAAAACAAAACAAAACAAAACACAAGCAAACAAACAAATAAACAAACAAAAAAACCCAAACAAAACCACTTACTGCTCTTGCAGAGGGACCTGTTACATTTTCAGGTGTTGGTAACACACGGGGATTGGTTACAAAAGATCTGAGGCTAGGGACTGAAGAGATAGCTCACTGATTAAGAACATTGGCTGCTCTTGAAGAAGACCCAGGTTTGGTTCCTAGCACCCACACAGTGGCTAACAGTCTATAATTCCAGCTCCAAGGGATCCAGTGCCCTCTTACGGCTTCAGTGGGCACAATACATGTGTGCTGGCATGTAGGCAATACATTCATACACATAAAATAAATTAAAAAGAGACTTCTTCCTCGTTCTTCCTAGTGTTCTACAGAGCAAAGAGCACTCAGTCCCTCTTCTGGCAAACGGTCAATGGGGTCAGTGACTTCTACTAGTGGGACCTATATTTGCTGATGGCCACAACCTATTACTGCCTTAAGATGGAGCTGCTAGGCCAGGGTCATAGCTCAGAGCCAAGCACATTTGAGGCCTTTGGTTTTATTCCTAGTACCACAGTATAGGCATTGCACACATGTGGTATACATACATATATACAGGCAAAACATTCATACATATAAAATAAAAATAAAAAATAAATCTTAAGAATAAAAGATCTGTGGTTGTCTAGGTGGATATTCTCCTGGGGAGAAGGAGGAACATGGGGCTTGGAAGAGTAGGGCCACCCCACAGTGGGCAGAGTCAGGCCTTAGACAAACTGGGGACCAGTGTTTGAAAATGCAAAGAAGATTCTAGAAGAGTATACAGTCATCTGGGGAGGGGGGAGAACTGTTACTTGGGACTTAAGAAGTTGGAACTTTTCCTTTTACGCACACACACACACGCATATATATATATATATATATATATATATATATATTCATTCTTCTAGTTCTGTTTTTATAGAGAACTATGTAGACCAGGCTGGCCTGGAATTCACAGAGATCTGCCTGCCTCTGCCTCCCAAGTGCTGGAACTAAAGGCGTGGGCCACCATGCCTGGCTATACACATCCATATTTAAATTTTAACTATATGCATGCATTATGAAATTTTTTAAAAATCACCAATTAATTAAAAATTTAAGAAAACAGATGCCTAGGTCTTGTAGCTCAACTATTCCTCTGGGACTCCTATGGAGACAATGGAGGCTTCTAAAGCTACTGGGACCCTGGACCCCGCTGGTGTGGCCAGAGAGAGGTTACTTACCCGGGGCCCTGCGGCTCCATCCGTGCCTGGGTGGCCAGGCTCTCCCTGTGGAGACAAATGGTTGATGCCTGGTCTGTGAGGTTCCCTGCCCCACTTTCAGTCCCCTCTTCTCCAGTGGGCCCGAAGTGTCTAATGGCTTATGATCAAGAATGACCTTCAGGAACAAGATTCCTACTAGACTCTGTTTGTTTGTTGGTCTTTTTGAGACAGGGTCTCCCTATAGCTCTAGCTGGCCTGGGACTCACTATATAGACCAGGCTGGCTTGAACTCCCAGAGATCCACCTGCCTCTGCCTCCCGAGTGCTGGGATTAAAGATGTGTGTCACCATGCCGAGCCACTACCAGACTCTCTGACACCCTATGCCGGTAGTAATGGGGACACTGAAGCCCAGGGTGACAAGGCTACATGGAAACTTAGCTCAGAGCTAGGTCTGAAAGAGGTCTTGTCACTAGTTCAGATCCACAGCCTCCCTCCCCCAGACCAGACTGATTGAGTCTAAAGGAGGCCCTCTTTAAAAGTGCAAACTAAGAGGTGAAACTACATCTACCCTGACCACTAGGTGACCCCATGAATGGGGCCTTCAGGTGCTGGGGCAGAACAGTGTGATGTCACCTTTGGTCCTAGGGCGCCATCCATGCCAGGCTGTCCTTGGGGCCCCACATCCCCTGGCTCACCCTGAAATAGACACAGTAGCAATGAAAGCAAGCAGTAGATGCAAGCCTGGGGTTGCTGGGCCTTGTGCTCAGGTCTTTTGGTGAACCAGGTTCTTCTGGGCTGAGGGATGAGGCTCAGGGATCTCTCCAGCCTGGGAGATCTAGGACCAGTCATCCCTTTCTGGTCTGGGTCTTGGCACATACCTGGCCCAGCTCAAGGGCTCGAGATTTTATATAATGACTGTGAAACTATCCTATTTTTTATTGTTTCTTTCCCCCACTAATGTTAAGAGCATCGATTGGCAATTCTGACTTGATTCAATGATCACTGTGTTGTTTGCCAAATAGGCTTTTCTCTAATTCCATTATTCATCCTTGTGGCATTCTACCACAAGGAAGAAGTGATTAAAAAATATTTTATTTATTTATTATTTATTTATTCATTCATTCGTTTGTTTATTTATACATGTACACATCCCACAGCATGCCTGGAGGTCAGAGGACAACTCATGGGAATTGGTTCTCTCCTTCCACCATGTGAGTCCTGGGGACTTCAGGACTTGCTCACTCTCTCTCTCTCTCTCCCTCTCTCTCTCTGAGACAGGTTTTATCACTGGCCTGGAACTTGGCAAGCAGGCTAGGCTGGCTGACCAGCGAGCCCCAGGGAGCTGACTGTCTCCATCTTCCTAGTACTGGGATTAAAAACACAAGCTATGATGCCTCGTTTACGTCCCTCCCTCCTTCCCTCCTCTGCCCCCCCCCCCTTTTCTTCCCTGGGTTCTAGCTATCAAATACATACCCTTAGGCTTGCAAGACAGACATTTTACTGATACCTATCTCCTTAAACTCTCTCTCTTTTCAATTTTTTTTTGAGACAGGGTCTCACTTTATAGCTCCAGCTGGCCTAGAACTCTCTATTTAGACCAGGCTGGCCTCAAACTCATAGAGATCTGCCTGCCTTAGCCTCCTGAGTGCTGGGATTATGGGTGTGTACCACCTGCTTGGCTCAAGAGACATTTTGGAGGCAGACTGGCCAGGACTTGGTAACCTTGGCAAAGGATTTGGGGAGCAAGGTATACAGATGACAACTTGTTTCTAGCTTGGTACTAGGCAAGGAGTAGACGAGACCACCTAGATGAGATGCCAGGCCTGCTGTCAAGGGCGGCCAGGGCCCCCTTTTGCCTCTCTCTGGCCTTCTCTGGGAACTGGCCCATAGTTCCATGATGTGAAAGGGTCAGGATAGGGGCATCTTCCAGGCAGACAGCAACTTTGGAGGGTAGAAGGTGGGGACATTGGTGAAGAGGGGCATATACCTACCTTGGGCCCTGGGGGTCCAGGAAGTCCTGGCTGGCTGGGCATTCCATCATCCCCCTGAGGAGAAAATAGTTGAGGCTTTGGCCATCACATGTGGACATGTTGGTCACACGTTTGGTTGCTCAGTTGGCTCCGACCCACACTAGGCTCCCCAGCATACCTGTTTGGTCCAAGCACCTGAGCCAAGCACCTCTCTCTAGCCCCTTAATCCTCTAGGACAAGACCTGAGTCAGATACATCTCAATATCCTACCCTTATGTGATGGCTAATCCTGGGTGTCAACTTGACTGGATCTGGGATTAACTGAAATGAGAGAGATCTTCTTGATTGGATCATCTGAAGCTGGAAGACACACCCTGAATGTGGGTGTTACCTTCTGATGGCAGCCAGTATAAAAGGCCATGGCAGAGGAGAACGCTGGGCTTCTTGCTGCTTGCCTTCTCTCTCACTGGTGAGTTCACCTTGCTGTTATAGACTGAAGACTAGCTGATCTTTTGGAATTCATCAGACCTTCAGTGCCAGATTGGGACTACTGAGACATCCAGCCTTGTGGACTGTGCGATTCTCAGCCTCTCCAGTGTGGTGTAGCCATTGTTGGACTACTCGGATTCTATCCTGTGAGCTAAGCTGATAAATCTCTGTACTTATATATTCATTCTGCCGGTTCTGTTTCTTTGGAGAACCCTGACTAATACACCTTACTCCTGCTACCCCAAGCTGTCTGGGAACCAGTCTCAGCAGGTGTCTTCAGAACACAATGGATGGACAGGTGAATGGTAGCAAATTCACTCAACTAAGATTTTGTGAGCATCCCATGGGTCAGGCACACATGTCCCTACTCCACGGAGTTGGAGGAGGCCATGGGACAAGAGGGAAATAAACATCAAGCCAGAAGGGCTTAAGAGCTGGGAAGGCACAAGGGGGAAGGCTTGGGGATAGGCTTCGAGAGCAGGAGTGGGGTACAGTTCTGCTGAGGAGTGGATAGGGAGGAGGTTCCTGGAGTGGGGTACAGTTCTGCTGAGGAGTTGATAGGGAGGAGGTTCCTGGAGTGGGGTACAGTTCTGCTGAGGAGTGGATAGGGAGGAGGTTCCTGATTTGCCACAAGGTGGGGAAGCAAAATCCAGGTCACTGGTTGGTTCTCAAGCTTACCTGCACAGTCACCCAGGAGTTTGACTCAACAGACACCAGACCCCGCCCCCAAAGTCTAGGGGCCAGAGTTTGTCTTCCTTCCCCTTTCCCTCCCTTCTCCTCCCCACTTCTTTTCCTTTCTTTTCCTCTTTCCTCCCTTTTGAGAAAGAGTTTCCTGTAGCCCAGGCTGGCCTTGAACTTACTATGCAGCCAGGGCTGATCCTCATGTCTTTGCCTCCTGAGTGCTGGGGTTACAGGCTTGCACCACCAGGGCTTAAACCCAGGGCTTCTTGCATGCTAGGCCAGCAGTTTGCCAACTGGCCTGCATCCCTAGCCCCAGAATTTGCATTTCTGACAAGCCTCTAGGTGATGGTGGCATTGCTGGTCTCAGGACCACAGCTTTAAGGACCGTGGGCCAGTCCTGAAGTGGGTGTGACATGTTTAATGATAGGAAAGAATGAGCAAATAAGTGAAAGAAATTCTGGCTTTCCCGAGACCCAGAACAGGGCCGGCCACACCACAGTGAAGACTCAGCTCTGGGGATGAGAAGAACACTTTCCCTATGGGGAAACCCTGTCCCCATCCCCCTCCTCATCCCCAGCCCCCGCCCTTCTCTCCTCCACAGGGCCCTCTCACCTTCTTCCCAGGAGTCCCAGGCTCTCCCTGAAAGGGAAACAAAATGAGGGTGCAAGAGGGGTCAGAGCCATAGGTGCGCGCTGCACATCAGACCTCTGCCTCCTCGGTACAACTAGCACCAATGACTCATGCTTAGTGTTGGCCCAGAGACCCTGGGTCCCTCAGAGAGATGCAGATACCCTTGGGTTTCTTTTCTGAGCCCATTAGTCCCAGACACTTGGGCAAGTGTCTGCTCTTGAAAGAGAAGAGATGGCACTTCAGCCTCAGAGAGGTATTGGAACATGGGATGCCCAGGAAGGCCCTGGCTCACTGCACACTTGCTAACTGGAACTCTTTCTCCATCCTGGCTCTGTCCTCAGTCTGAGGACCCAGATCCTTCCCACCCCAGGTGATGCCCAAGCCCTAAGAGAGAGTGCTGTCATCTGAAGTGTCTTCAGAAGCTAATGCAAGCCCATCTTGGTGGCGCACGCCTTTAATTCCCAGCACGCCGAGGGAGAGGCAGGTGGATCTCTGGGAGTTCAAGGCCAGTCTGGTCTCCAAAGCTCCAGGCCAGCTGGGGCTACAGGGAGACCCTGTCTCAAAAAGACCAAAAAAAAAAAAAAAAACAAAAAAAACAAACAAAAAAAAACCTGTAGGGCTTCACTTGTACTTGCGAAGGGTCAGAATCAACTAAGAGGCCCTCCAGTGGGAGAATGGGAACGTAATGGGCATTAGACAGTGGAGTTAGAGCCCGGCGTAGAAAACAATGAGCAAGTTGGGGAAAGATCAGCGAACTCTCCAAGTGCCAGTCTGAAAACATTGCATGCTGGAGGGTTCTGTCCACATGGGATTCTGCGGAAGAAGCCATGGAGGTGGTAGCAGGATCAGTGGTTGCTAGCGGATGGAGAGAGGAGGGGAGAAGGGAGGACCACAGGGGACGTCTGTGTGTGTGTGTGTGTGTGTGTGTGTGTGTGTGTAGTGCATGTACATGAGTGTACAGATGTGCGTGCCCCTGTGGAAGCCAGAGAAAGATATCAGGTGTCTCCCTCTACTGCTCTCTGCTTTTTTTTTTTTTGCTTTGAGACAGGGTCTGTCACTGAACCGGAAGCTTGTTTGAGCTAGATTGGTTGGCCAGCGAGCTCTTGGGATCCTCCTGTCTCTGCTGCCCAAATGCTGGGTTTGCAGGCACACACAGACATGCCTGGCTTTTTATGTGGGTGCTGGGGATTTTACTCAGGTCCTCATGCTTGCCGAGCAACTACTTTTATTTCCTGAGCAATCTCCCCAGTCCCTTGCACAGGGTTGCTTAAGACTGAAATTATGAAGTGTGATAATATCAACATATTTGTTCTACAACAGCACGAGGGAGTTGCCTGTGAACTGAGGACTTTGGGGGACAATGCAGTTCCTCAGTTGTGGCAGACAAACTTTGGTGGGGAATGAAAATAACCAGGGGAATGTGCATATGGGAGGCAGGGGGTGGGGACACCTGGGAACTCTGTACCTTCCTCTCAACTTTGCTGTGAACCTAAAACTGCACCAAAAATAAAGTCTACTAAAACCAAACATCTAAGGGCTGGGAGATGGCTCAGCAGTTAAGACCACTGGCTTTTCTTACAGACGATCTGGATTTGGTTCCCAGCATCCACATGGCAGCTCACAGCCCCCTGTAACTCTGACACTCTTTTCTGGTCTCTGTAGGCACCAGGTATGCATGTAATATACCTACATACATGTAGGCAAATATTAATGTCCATAAAAATAAAAATAAATAAGTCTTCAAAAACCCCCCCACAAAAAATGAAACCAAGCCATCAAGGTGTCATGTGATTCAATCCTCACCATGCAGTGTGAAATCAAGGTAGAAAGATCTACCATACCCCTATTTGGCACATGAATAAACTGAGGTCTACATGTGGTAACCTGCCTCTTCTTCCAGCTGAGTGTCCTAACCTTCCTGCTTCAGTTTCAGTGGGGGAGGTTGGGAGAGAGGAGGGGTGTGGAATGGAGGCTTGGGAGCTGGAAGAGGGGTGCTGAGGACGCACCTTGGGTCCTGCGGGTCCCTTGGGGCCCTGGAAGAAGACCAGAGAAGAGAAGGTGTTAGACATCATTCTGGAAGCTGTTCCTGTCTGTCTTGTCATTTTCCTTTTATCTAGGGTGACGCCGTGTCCCGAGGAAGAGGCAGGCTATCACTAGAAGCAGGGGTGTGTGTCTAGGATTGACTCCCTGTGCCTTGGACAGCAGCTGTTTCAGGGCTTATGTGGTCATAGGTGAACTACATACTCACCCAGGAGGGTGAGGTACTGGAATTCTACCCAGGCTGGAGACCTTGCCCATCCACGCTTCCATTGTGGGCAGAGGAGTGGGTACATCCACAAATACACCTACATAATCCTGGTGTGGGTGCAAGTGGATGATAGATTTAGAAATGTGGAAACACATTTCCGGGCATGTCTATGAGGGCATTTCCAGAAAGGTTTAACTGCAAAGGGAGGACCCACCCTAAATGTGGGTAGCACCATGCCAGGGGCTACGGTCCTGGACTCAAGACAAGGAGAAAGTGAGCTGCACATCAGCATCCATCTCCTACTTCCTGAAGGTGGACACAGTGTGACCAGCTGCCTCACACTTCTGCCATGCATTCCCCATGATAGACTGTACCCTTAAACTATGAGCCAAAAGAAATTCTTCTTTTTTTTTTTTTCTGTCTTTTTGAGACAGGGTCTCCCTGTAGCTCCAGCTGTCCTGGAACTCACTATATAGACCAGGCTGGCCTTGAACTCAGAGAGATATGCCTGCCTCTGCCTTCTGAGTGCTGGGATTAAAGGTGTGCGCCACCACGCCCAGCTGAAATCCTCTTTAAGTTGCCTTTGCTGAGTATTTTGTCATAGCGACAAGAAAAGTAACTATTATATCAGGAAAGGGGCTTCCAGGTCTGGACGCTATGCCTTATCAGCCCAGGCTTTGCAAAAGCCCTGAATACTCACCACCTCACCATCTTGTCCAGGCTCTCCTTTAGGACCCTAAAGAGGTAGGAGAAAATAGCCATAAGGACTGGGCATGGTGGTGCACGCCTTTAATCCCAGCACTCAGGAGGCAGAAGCAGATGAATTTCTGAGCTTGAGGCCAGCCTGGTCTACATTGTGAGTTCCGGGCTTACAGGGAGACCGAGTCTCAAAAACAAAACCCCAAACCAAAAACAGAACCACCACCAACAAAATAGCAACAAGGGACCAAAAGGACCCACATTATTTGAGCTTGAATCTCATGCTAGGACATGGGCAGGGATCTAAGAGCATCTAGTCCACCTGCCCTCAATCCTGCGATGTGATTGTCATCATCCCTACTTCACAGATGACAAGGTTGAGGCTTAGGCAGTTACCTGCCCAATGTGACAAAGAACAGATGAGCCAACAGAAAGCTGCCTCAACAGGGAACCCTGGTGGCAGTCTGGCGGAGGTGTGGGCTCTGTATTGGAGGAGAAGAGAGGCCCTGGGTAGTGAGCAGTAAGGATCGGTGGAAGCACTTACGTACAGGCGTCAAGAGTTAGAGCTGGGGTGAGGATTGAGACTGACCTTGAAACTAAGGTCAAGGTTAGGGTCTGTTGGGGGTTAGACTTGGGACTTCAGTCAGGCTCAGGGTTAGAGTCTGGGGTGTAAAATAGGACATGGAGTCAAATCTTGAGTAGGGTTAGGAGCCAGGACTGTGCTAGATTTGAGGCTTGGTTGGTTTAAGGGTCTGAGTTAGGTGTGAGATCAAGGATGAGATGTGAATTGGGATTAGGGTTAAGGTGGGGTCCAGGGTCAGTGTGTGGATTGTGTGACAGCTGGCATGGGTGTCCTAGGAATAGTACTGGGTTGGAATTGGCTCTGGGCTCAGAGTTGGGGTGTGCATCAGTACAATACCAACTCTTAGGGCCCACAACTCCATTTCTTCTCTTACCACTGGGCCTTGAGCTCCCTTGGGACCATCTTTTCCAGTGTCACCAGGAGGGCCCCGGGCCCCAGGTGGTCCAGGGGGCCCTGGAGGTCCTGCAGCTCCATCTTGACCTTGGTCTCCCTGAAAGACATAGGATTTGGCATGACCCTGAGGGTGAGCATGAGGGGGTTCCAGCTTCCAGCAAAGGGGGTCCCTTAGATGAGCAGTCCCTGTGCCTTTCCGTCCCTAGCCTTTGAGGCAGCCACAAAGGAAAAGTCTTTGCTAGTGGCCTTCTGACTACTTCTTGGTAGCTGTGTGAAAGGACCTTGGTATAACAGGCCCCAAATGACCTTGTATACCTTATGGAATATGTCACCTTCTCAGCACTCAAAGCCTAGATATGGTTAGGTGAGAAAAGACACACTCTGGGTATGGAAGAAGTGTGCATGCCATCTAGTCTTCCAGCTAGGGGATGAGTATCTCCTGCAAGATCTTCCTGGTTGGGCCTCACTTGCTGCATTAAAAAGAACAGAAATGCACACTTGGGCATTTATGGTATGTTCACACAAACAACAGCATGTGAACACTGACAACAGCTTTCTTTGTAATAGCCCCAGGGTAGAAATGGTTAAAATGCCCTCCCAGAGCTGAACAGTTGAACTGTGAGCCATCATATTATGGAGTGCCACTCAGCAATAAACAAACAAACAAACAAACAAAACAGGAAAGGCCTCATCCCAGCCTTGGGAGGCTGGGACAGGAGGATTGTTGTGAGCTCCAGGTCCGCCTGGATTACATAATGAGTTCCAGGTCAGCCTTGGCTACAGAGTGAGATCCTGTAGAAACAAAAAAAAAAACAGCTGGGCATGGTGGCATACCCCTTTAATCCCAGCACTTGGGAGGCAGAGGCAGGTGGATCTCCGTGAGTTCCAGGCCAGCTGAGGCTACAGGGAGACCCTGTCTCTAAAAAACAAAAAAAAAGCTGGGCATGGTGGTGCACATCTCTAATGCTAGTACAGCACTCAGGGGGTGGAGGCAGGAGGGTCAAGACTTCAAGTTCATCTTTGGCTCCATAGTGAATTTGAGGCCAGCCTGGGATACATGAGACCTTGTCTCAAAAAACTTAAATCAGGGCTCAGTTGGTAAAGGTGCTTGCTACTAAGCCTGATAGCCTAAGTTTGATCCCTGGGACCTACATGGTGGAAGAAGAGAATTGACTCCTCCCAGTTGTCCTATGATCGCCATACTTGTACGGTGGCATGTATATGCACACACACATACACGAAAATAAATAAATGTCATAAAAAAAACCCAGCCAGGCATGGTAGCACAGGCCTTCAATCCTGGCACTCTGAGGGTAGAGGCAGGTGGATCCTGGTCTATCTACTGAGTTCCAGCAGGGCTGCATAGGGAGTCTCTGTCTCAAAAACAAAAACAAACAAACAAACAAACAAACAAAAAAAACCCAAAAACCCAAAAAACCCAAAACCCCCAAAACCCCAAACTCAACTCAAACTCAAACTCAAACTCAAACTCAAACGCAAACTCAAACTCAAACTCAACTCAAACTCAAACTCAAACTCAAACGCAAACGCAAACGCAAACTCAAACTCAAACAAACTCAAACTCAAACTTGGAGCCAAATAAACAACACTCAAGTATGAAATTCTCAAAAATAAAAGAGATTACATTAAAAAGACAAAAACAGCCCCTCCCCAAAGAAACAAACTGGGGACACACGCATGTAAGAACGTGAATGCATTGCAGGGAAACTATGCTGAGAAAAAAAAGTCAGCCTCAAAAAGCTATACTGGGGGACAGGCTCTGGAGAGGTGGCTCAGCTGTTAGAGCTACTGCTCTTGCTGAGGACGCCCTTTGGTTCCCAGCACCCATGTCAAACAACTCACAGCCTCCCGGAACTCCAGTTCCAGGAGATCCAATGCCCTCTGGCCTCCAGTTGTGCACACAACTCATACAGGCACAGACACATACACATTAAAATATTTTAAAAAAGCTAAAGGCTGTGTGATCGTGTCTGCCTGATCTTCTTGAATAGAAAAGTTATACAGGAAGAGATTAGTGGTTGCCAGGGGTTAAGGATGAGGGGGTGAGCCTAGCTAGCAAAGGAAAGCCTGAGGGATTTTTGTGTGGTAGATACGAGTCCATATATGATAACACTGCACAGAGGAAAACATGCCTGAACACATACACACATGCACACTTATGCACATACACACTCATGCATAGACATACATTTATACACTTATGCACACACACATGCACACAATTACATACATGCACACACTCATGCACTCATGTACCATGTGTGCACATAAAATCACATGGCCTCACACATTTATGCATATGTGCATGCACACAGTCATGCACACACACTCATACACACAATCACACTCAACACACACATATGCTTCTGTACATACACATATGCACACACTCATGCATACACACACACACACACACACACATGCCCACAAGCATGTGTAAAATTGGGGAAATGTGAGTAGGGCTGGTGGGTTGAGTGATTATTGGTCTTCTGATAGTTAGATTGTACGACAGTGGTACACAATGTTGTACCAATAGTATATACAAGATGTGCTATTAAGTGGGGGCAGTTGGATGAAGGGTACATGCGATATTATTAATTAAAAGTGCAAGTGAATTTACAATGATCTCAAAGCAAAAGGGCAACAGTAGACAAGAGGGGACACACAGTCTCATGCAACACCAAATCCCCGACTCTTGAACCCAGGATTAGTACCAGGCCAGACCATGCCAAACGCTCATTTCATGGTCCACCCTGCAAGACAGGAGGCCCACTGTGTGACTGGCACAGGTACAGTAAAGGAGGTACCAGTCATGGGCCACAGTGCAGTGGCTCTCAACCTTCTGACAACCACAAAGGAAAGAAGCTTTGAGCAAACTCAGCGCTGTATGAAGAAGCACTTCCTGGAGATGATGCAGCCTTTGTGAACAGCTGGCCAGGGCAGCTCTCATTCTACAGATGAAGTGCTGGGGGTCAGGGAGGGCAATCATCCCTCAGGGTCACCAAATTAGGACATGCTGAGCCTCCTCTTGCTGCTAGCGCAACTGGTCTTTTAAAGTCTTTTTCCACTTTTTTTTCCATTTTAGTAATGTGTGTATGGTGTGCATGTGTGTGCCTATATGCTTGCATGTGTGTGGGCAACGTGTGCATGTGGAGACCCAAAGTTGATGTTGGAGATCATCCTCAGTCTTCCACCTTATTCATTGAGGCAAGGTTTCTCAATCAAACCCAGAGCTCATAGATCCTAGTCTCTCTAGCCAGCTTGCTCTGGGGATCCCCTGTCTCCACTTTCCAAGGCTGGAATTACAGGCAGGCTATTATGCACACCCTGCACTAATGTGGATTCTGGAGATCTGAACTCTGGACCTCTTGTTTGAGCTGCAAGCACTTTAACCAGTGAGCCATTTATCAAGCCCACAACGGGTCTTTTTTAGACACTTTTTTCCCCCCATAGGAGGAAAAGAACTCACCTCTCCAGCAAACTGCACATAAGACAAACTTTGCTTATTTTTCTCAATTGATAGATGGATGGCAGCTCTTTCTTGCTATGACTCAGATTGCTGACCTGTCTGGCCAGTGCCCTGATCAAAGGGTTCTAACTCTAGATCCCAAAGTAGCATGTGGCAAGTCACCCAGTCTCAGGACTGATGGGTGGATATTACTGCTCTATTTAGTACTGAGGGACTGAGTCTGGAAGAATTTCATTCTCTCTTCCTGTTGCTCCTCTCACAGCTCAGAGGCCCCAGATTGGGAGTCCCTGGCCTGACTCCAGTTATTAAGGTAGAAAAAGAATTTCGGACCCTGTACAGGCCCTTTAGAAGATTTTTTCTTTCTTTTGTTAACCTTCCCTCTCCTTCTGGGCCTGGGTGGCTGAGGTCTGGCCCTGAAAACACAGCATGAGTCGGAGTTGGGGAGCACAGCAAACCAGCAGGCCAGGTCACCTCACTTAGCCAGTCTACCTTGAGGATGCGGCGATTGTACCCATGATGGTCTCTACTTATAAAGCCTGTGTTGAGCCGTGGGAAAACCATCTAGTTGGCAAACAAGTTTTGTGGTCAGAAAAAGAGGAGGAGAACCTCAAAAATCACAAGGCAAAGCCAGCTGAACCAACCCAGTAAAAAGCAGCTTGTGACAGGTAATGCTACCCCTCCCCTGAAAGATGGCTGCCATGCTGGCTGTGGGCCTGCAGGTTCTTGCTATTCTCTGACAGAAACCAGTGCCCATCTCTCCACCTCCTGTGACTAATTTGTCCAACAGCATGCAGGGTGTGATGCTAGATCCATCCTGGGTGTCACCCTTAACAGGTGTGACAGTTCTCACTTCCTGACCCTTGGCAAGCTGAGCCCAGAAGCCTCTCTAAGAACCCAGGCACCATATTGGGAGGAAGCCCTGAGACACATGGAGAGCCACACATGGCTGCTTCCCAGCCAAGTGGGAATAGCTACATCAACTGCAACCATGTGAGGGCGTCATCACCTCCCAGGACCAGCTGCCTCTGCCTGCAATCACGAGAGACTCTAGCCAACCTATGGGACCATCAGAAATAATGATAGTCATTTTAAGCCACTGAGCTTTTCGGGGGAGATAGTTGTTTCATAGTTTACTGGGACCCCAAGACAAGGGGCAGAACATCCCTGAGGAGCCAAGGAGCTTGGGGAGAAATGTGGCCTTTCACAACCTCAGGATCAGAGGGACCCTAGTCATGTGGACTGGGCAACTCTATCGGGAAGATCAGCTTCGTGAAGCAGTATTTTTCTTGGCAGTCACGGAACAACAGGGGCATCCTTTCTCTGACTTCAGAGAAATCTCCCTGGCTCTCTGAGGCTCTGGTCCTACCTCCCTGTCAAAGACCCAGCAAGGGTCAGCTCTGCTCATCACAACTCAGCCTGTTTCAGCCCTTCCCTGATCCAGCTCTTGATCACAAATCCCCTGTGACATGGGCCCTACCGTCCTCATTTCGCAAAACCTGGCCTCAGCTTTGAAGTTGACCTGGGTCCTGGCCTTGCTTGTCTACAAAGCAGCCCCAGCCTGTGTGTTCTGCCCTGTGCTCTCTCCTTCTCTCCATCCCACAGAGACTGTTCTCCTCTTGAGTCCAAACAGCTCACCTATTCTTCATCCCAACCCTGCCCCCAGAGCTTACATGATTGACATGATTGAGTGACCCTTGCACCACAGTGTCCTTCCTATAACCTTAGACACGACCCAGACTTTCTCTGGGCAGCTGGTGACCAACTCTGTCTCTACAGTTTGGGCACTCTGCCTAGAACATTCTGGAAATGGTGAGGATACCTGGTAGAGCTTCTTAAGTGCTCCTGTCAAGACCCACTTTTAGGAACCACCTGAGGTACACAAGCCTTTCTGAGTTCCTGGGCCTAGGGGCCACTGAGGGCAGCAGAGGACTGGAGCAGACATCTATTGTCTGTCTCCATGCTGAATGCCAGTGTCTTTTATGCTACTGACTTTTATGATTATGATGAGTCTTCACAGTACCTGCTGGGGTGGGGAAATATGACTCGTGCAAGGTTCGCGAGCTGGGAAGTGGCAGGGTTGAGCTCTGGGGTCTGAGATGCTGACCTCAGGGCCTTCTCTTTCTCTGAGTGTCAGCTGCCCCTCAGGAAGGTCAGTCTCTGACTGGGGACCAAGGCCAACCCCACTGTCTGGTGACAAGTACAGGAAGCAGGAACTTGCCAGACACTCATCATCTGTGAGGGAGATAGTTGCCTCACTAGGTGAGGGCACTTGGGGGCTTCCATATAGTAGGCACCGGTCGGGAGGGAGGGTTGCCTCGCTTGCCTCTCTCTGTGGTAAGCTGTGGGGAGCTGGGACCCTGAAGAAATGCCCTATTATAATAATATTAAACAAACCATGTGGGCTGGATGAGGGAGGTGGTGCTCCATTCTTACCCGCGGGCCAAAGTCTCCTGGTGCACCCTGGGAACCAAACACAGGAGAGTAAATGGTCACTGATTTATTATTTCTCCACATTTACTGTTGAACATTTTCTCTGTGCTTCACATACATTTTGGCAAAAACAACAGACAGGCCTTGTTTTTAATCTCCATGTCCAATGAGGGCACTGAAGCACAGAGAGACCAAGTAATCTGCTCAAGGTCACACAGCTAGAAGATTGAAACCAGGCATTCCCTCATCTATGACTGCTTTGCAGATGTTCAAGGCCCTAGGCACAGTGTAACAGTGATAGCTGCTCCCACTGTGACCTCTCAGAATCCCAGAACGTTGGACTAGTAAGAGATAATAAATCCTTGAGCTTGGACACAGTACATGATATAGTAATAGATACCAAGACACCAGCTTCTCTCTGGTCTCCAAGCCTCTGGGTAATTTCCATGGTTTGGTGGCACCATCCAGAACCAGTGGGAAGATAATCAAACATCTACCAGCTGGGTCAGTGCCTTCAACACATCAACAAAGACCATTCAGATGGTGTCCTCATGCAACCTCCCCCATTGCTCTGTGAAGCTGGCTTTAATTTACAGATGGAGACACTGAGGCCCCTAGAGCTCAAAGCCACACAGCGATGGAGACGGAACATAGAGGAGGCTCTGAGCACCAGATCCCGTGTCTTTCCACAGCTCTCTCAGCTTTGTTGGTAGTGGGGAGCACCAGTCTGTCCCTACCTGAGTGGCCATACCACGGCAAGTTCTACCACACCTTGGTAGGCTCCATCACACCACGGCAGGCTCCACCACACCACAGCAGGCTCCATCACACCATGGCAGGTGCCACAACCCAACACTCTTAACTTCTCCATTTCCAAATCCCAGGCCAAAGCTGCATGAGGCCTCTGGAGGCCTCACTCAGCCACTCTCGGGTTTGCTCTGGACCTTCTTGATCTCACACCAGTTCCACACAAATCTCTTCTGCTCTCTTCCAAGAAACCTGGTGATCCTATGTTTAATGCCAAGTGCCAAGAGGGCCATTGCAGATCTTGTTTACTTACAGTAAGATACTCTCCTTCAAGGGCAGTGGCTCTTTGGAGTCTGGGCTCCATCCATTTGTCAGGGGATGGACCATCCACCATCTCTCTGTTTATCCATTCATCCATCTGTCTATTCATGCATCTATTCACCAACCCATCCATCCATCCACTCATCTACTTACCCACCTATTTATCCATAATCCATCCATCCATTTCACAAAAGACTGGGAAGACAACCCTCTACTGCCCGTTTCTTTGGTGTCTTCCCATAGGGAACTGTTCATCACTGTTCATGCCCCAAGCTCTCCTGGAACCCTGCTTAATGTTGGAAACTTGCCTTGGAAACTTGCCTTGAAGCTGGGTGTGGTGGTGCAGGCCTTTAGTCTCAGCATTCGGGTGGCAGAGGCAGGGGGATCTCTGTGAGTTCAAGGCCAAAAAAAAAAACATAGTGAGTTTTAGGCTAGCTGGGGATACAGGGAGACCCTGTCTCAAAAAGACCAAAAAAAAAAAAAAAAAAAAAAGGAAAGAAAGAAAGAAACTTGCCTTGTTTTGTTACCCCAGGCATCAGAACTCAGATTCAACCCTCTTAGTATATTACCATGTCGGATGTAAGCCTCCTACCCATTTTAGGAGATAGGCATTGCTTGTTCTACTTTAGAGACAGGGAAAGGGAGGCTTTAGGAGAGGCCTTGATTGGCTCAATTTTCTACTCTAGAACTGAGGTTTGAAGTAGGTGGCTGTAGCTTTCATCAGCTCGCAGCATCTGGACAGCATCGAAAGTACTTACCTTTTCCCCTTTGGGGCCTGGAAGTCCCTGGAGAAGGGAGATAGAGAAAGAACTGGTGTGAGTGAGGAGGAGGGAGGAAGGCTGGGCTGCTCAGCTTTTGGCTGCTCATGGCTGTGAGGGCAGAAGGGCCTTTGGGGCTGGCAGGGCTGTGGGCAGCTTAGTGGAATGCTACATTAGCCTGCCAGGCCTTAACAAGCCGCCCTTGCTGTCTCCTGGAGGCTCCACACCGATCCTCAGGGTGAGGGAGATAAGGGCTGGGGAGTCACCAGCAAGGGTCCACAGGCACCTTCTCAGCAGGAAGAGAGACGCATGGACTAGTCTTTCTGCACGGAGGATACAAATCCTCCCTGCTTGGCCTCTGCTGGTGAGGAGGCCATTGCCAGAGCTGTCAGAGCCAGTCTTCAGAAAAATACTCTCCTTCAAGAGTGGTAGGCCCTTGAAGTCTGGGCTCCATTGACCCATCCACCCATCTACTCATCTACCCACTTACCCATCTATCCATCCATCTATTCATCCATCTACTCAGCTACCACTTACTCATCCATCCATCCACCCATCTACACTCACTTATCTACACATTCACTTATTTACTTGGTTATCCATTTATCCATCCATCCATCATCCATCCATCCTTTCATCTATCCACTTACCTACCCATTTATTGATTGATCCTTTTATTCATCCGTCCATCTACCAGTCCTTTCATCCATCCATCCATCCATCCATCCATCCATCCATCCATTGATACACCTGTTGGGAGCTATTAGTATAAGCACAGCCGTTATGTACACTGAGCTGTGGCAGGCTTGCTTGTTTACTTTATGATCTTTCACCTCGACTCAAGAGTTTGTGTGTTTTGCACACCAGTACCTAATTGTTCTGCCAAGTCAGGAGGAATGTGTTGATAATTTAGGGAAGATGGTTAAATGGTGGAATTCACAACAAGTATTTGACCGCTCCTTGACCCTCAGATAAAGGTGGGAAAAACAGCTGTTGAAGCTGACTGAGCTAAGCAAACGGTGGCTGTCTGATGTTCTACTGTATAACAAGGCTGAGCTAAAATAAACTGGGGGCTGTGGTCTCTACTGACAGTCCTCCCACGTATCTTTCTCTGTCTCTTGTTTTTCTTTCATCCTCACTCCCCTTTTCAGGTGCTGTTCGTCTAAGGCCAGCTGGCACCGGCATACACCTACCCACTTACCTACCCATTTACATTGATCCATCCATCCATCCATCCATCCATCCATCCATCCATCCATCCACCTATTTACCCATTTACCCATTGATCCATTTACCCATCCCTCCAACGACCAACTCATCTATCCATCCACCCATTATTCTGTCCATCTACCTACCCATCCACCAGTGCACATATCTGTCTATCCCTCCATCTACACCCAGCTATTAAATTGTGGTGTCTCCCTGTGTATCCTGTTAATCTTCTGAAGATGCCCGTGGACCATGGGCTCTTGGAGCAGGTGTTGAGAGCTTTTCAGCTCAGTGCCCACTACGGAAGTCTTGAGAACATGTCAGATACACTCTGTGCCTGGGGCCTGCTGAGAGGGGCTTGTAGACTTTGAGGGCTAACTAAATACTGGGAACTGTGATGACCATGGTTCTCCATAACTTCATAACACCTCCTGAGAGAGCTGTTATAGATTAGGAAGGTGAAGGAGCCTCTCCGTGGCTGCTCAGTCAGCAGATGCTGAAGATGAATTTGAATTCATGTCATACCTAAGTGGCGTGTCTCTGCACTGAACCAAGTTCCCAGTTTCCTCGGGTGCCCCATGGTCATTCCCATTCCCACAGTGGTAGCCCTACCCCCAGAACCACCTAGAATTGCTTTGTCACTTACGGGCTTGCCGTCCAGACCCAGCGGTCCCTGGAATGTAAGAGAGAGATCAAGAGTTATGTACAGGACCATTCTTCCACATCTTAAGACCCCTGAAGTATTATTCAGTAACAAGAAAACAAGACCCCGAGCCCAGAGGGCAAGGTACATACCATGTGGACAGGGTGTGGAGTGGGAGGAGGGCATTTGTGTGTTGTCAGTCACCCAGAGTCCCTCCCCTGACGACATAGCCCCAGTTCTTGTCTAAAGACCTCCCTAATCATTAGGGACTTCTTGGGGAGGGTTCATGACCATGTTCCTTTGTCAAGGTGACAGGCCCAAGCGCTTGCCTGGAATGCAAGCTGAGTCATAAGCATCATGCCTGGGACTTTGAATGGTGATCCTGTGGGGAAAGAGAGCCCTTTTCTTCAAAGAGGCTTAGCCTGAGGTTCCTGGGCCCTCCATGTGGGTTGAGAGAGAGAGATAGAGAGTCATAGAGAGGAAGGCAGAACTGAGAGATGGAGAAGGACAGTGCTGGGGGCTTGAAGTGGCAGTGATCCTGCACGCCTTTGTTTCTTGGGTTTCTCCTAAGCCAGCTTGAGTTGAGTAGCCAGATGACGGGAGGACAGCGGCTGAGAGCAGGGCACCTCAGGACCTCCAGGCCTCTGCGGTGTCTGCGGAGAGCCACTGACCCTATGGAGCACGCTTCACCCACCTGTCCATTCAACAAGTCTTACCCTGTCCCCCTCTGGATAAGGCTGCAGAGGAAGCCAACAGGTGTGGATGCTGCAGACCAGGGTGGTTTGGTCTCTGCCAGCCTCTGCCTTCCTTTGTCCCCTCATCCCTACATGTACTTCACCTTTGAACCCAGCAACACTGCTTGAAGCGCCACCTTTTTGAGTCTTTACACACACTGTTCCCTGCCATCCTGCTCACCCTTCCCCTCTCTGCATATCTTCAGCCAGGAACAATTTCTTCCACAAAGCCCTCCAGGTTTCTGTGCTTCCTAGAATCAGGCCATCTGCTCCTGTTCCCAGCAACATAGTAACACAATGGCACATGACATAGGACATGGTTAAAATGCCTTCTATACCAGTCTCCAGTAGAGTCCAGAAGAGAGTCTGTGCCCCAACCCTCTCGTGCTTGGGTGAGGCCTGTTGTAGCACATATGACCAGGAAATGTGAGCTGAGTGAAACCAATGAAATACAGCAAGAAAGAATGTGTGCAACACACACACACACAGTAAGTACACACACACACACACACACACACATACACACACACACATACGCAGGTTCAGTGCCCCTTGACCTGAAGTGTTTTGGGTTTCAGGTTTTCTTTAGTGTTTTGAATACAGGTTGAGCATTCCTCAGCAGAAAAACTGGCTAGGAGATAGCTCAGTTGGTAGAGTGCTTTCCTAGTATGTGCAAAGCCCTGGGTTTGATCCCTAGCACTGCACCCCTAAACTGGCATAGGGTGCAGTTCTGTAATCTCCAGACAATGGGATTCCAGCCCTCAGCCCCCTCCTGTATTCCCTGCAAGAACAACACTCAGAAAAGTAGCCAAGGGCAGACTTGAGTCTTGCTGGGCCAGGATTTGAATTCCTCCTCTGAGCCACACCGCCATGACTGTAGGCACCCGTTCTCCACAGGCTGCTGCCCTGCTTGATCAAAGCCATGGAACCCACTAGAGGTTTTCATCGCCTTCTGCCCTCCATGAAACCCCACAGCTGTTTACAAGCCTCGGTTCTGCTTGAAGTCACTCTCCCAGAGGAGATCAGCTGGCTCCAGGATGTTTCTAGATGTTCCAGAGACAAATAAAACAAGGGGCTGTGCATGAGGGAGTGAAGAGTAAAGCCCCAGAGCAGGCTTAGTCCTGAGCCTCACTCAGGACCCAGGATGTTTGAAGCCTCGTTGGCCTCATCTGTAAGGTGGAGGCCACGCTGTTCTCTCCAGCACAAGTTCAAGTTGGGCCCATGTCAGATGCCCTTGTTTCTTCCTCTCCCAGATCAACCCAAGACACATGACACTCACAGGCAAGTTGACATAGAATTGACATGGAATTGGCCATCTGCCCTGGCCCTGACAGAGGCAGTGTTGGTAGTGACCTTTGTGTGACTCTCTGAGTGGGACACTGGACTGCATTACCTGATGACATTTTACCTTTTCCTTTTTAAAAAAAGATTGTGTGTGTGTGTGTGTGTGTGTGTGCACCCCTACGTGTGGTTATGTGCACGTGAGTGCAGCGCCCACGGAGGTCAGAAGAGGGCATCAGATCTCCTGGAGCTGGGTTTACAGGCAGTTGGGAGTCACCCAGTGTGGAACCACTCATTCCATGCTGGGAACAGCCTGGGTTGGCTCTGATGCTGTCTTCATTAAGGTAGGGAGGGAGGGGCAGGTAGAGAGTTGGTCTTTCTGATGGTTCTTGATTTATTTATTTGTATTTTATGTATATGAGTGTTTTGCCTGTATGTATGCAAGTGCACCATGTGTGTGTAATGCCCACAGAGGCTAGAAGAGAGCATCAGATTCTCTGGAACTGGAATTATAGATAGTTGTAAGCTGCCATGTAAATGCTAGGAACTGAACCCAGGTCCTCTCTCTCTGTCTCTGTCTCTGTCTCTCTGTCTCTGTCTCTCTGTCTCTGTCTCTCTCCCCAGAGTCTCCCTGTAGCCCCAGCTGACCTGGAACTCACCATGTAGACTAGTAGATTAGACTGGCCTCTTGAACTCTGCCTCCCTACTGGAGTGCTGGGATTAAAGGTGCGTGCCACCATGAAAGGATTCAGCCAGTGCTGTTAACTCCATCTCTCCAGGCTTGGTCTTTCTGCTTAAAAAAAATTACATTTGCCAGGTGTGATGGTACACACCTTTAATCCCAGGACCTGGAAGCAGAGACAGGTGGATCTCTCTGAGATCGAGGTCAGCCTGGTCTACATAGTGAGTTCCAGGCCAGCTATGGCTACAGTGAGATCCAATCTCAAAAAGAACCCCCCCAATTACATTTACTTATTTGTGTGCCCCCACACACGTGTTGCACCCCATGGTACCCGAGTGGAGGTCAGAGGACAACATGCGTGAGTCAGTTTACTCCTTCTACCATGTGGGTCTTGGGGATTGAATTTAGGTTATCAGGCTTAGCAGCAAGCACCTTTGCTTACTGAGCCATGGGGTCTCTGATAGCCAAGGCTGGTCTTGAACTCCTGATCCTCTTGCCTCCATCTCTCAAATGCTGGGATTACAGGTGTGCGTCCCTTTGCTTGTCTTGATGTGGTCCTTATCATGGTTCATGCTCCCTGAGATGGGCAGGAGCCTCAGAAACCAAACCAAGAAACTGGTAGTGTTTAGATGCAGATGGGGCAAATGCTCCACTGGGCCAGAGCTGGGCGACTGTCTTGCTTTTTTGTTGTAATTAACGCTGACAGCTCCTGCTGGGGGAATGGAGCCCTCAAAATGCACCAGGCTGGGGCTGTGGGATGAGGGGCTTTCCAGGATTATCAGTTCAGGGTCTAGTAATTACACCCCAGATGTTGTCAATTCATCAGATTACAAGGCTGATGGGGTCTGAGGTCCCAGTCTGGGAAGTGTGCATTCCTACATGAAGGCTCCTTGAGTTTTGTCCCAGCCTTCACCAGGACTGGTCAGCAGGGCAGGAGTCGGTAGGGAGGTGGGCCCCTCCATGCAGGGCAGTCCCATATGGTTTTGATTTCACAGGCCTGGCTCTTTGCACACACATGAACTGTGGTCACAGTTGGGGGCTTAGCAATTTCCCAAACTCAAGTCTCAGCCCCAGGGCCAGAAAAGCTAGGTCCTCGGTATGTGACAGACCAGCTGTGGCTTGTGTCCTGCTGGTGGCTGGGTGCTCTTCCCTTCCTAGGTTCTGGGTGCTTCGAAGAGTGGACTCTGCCCTCACTTACCCCACCCCAGCTCATAGCAAGCTGTGACTTGCAGGTGTGTCCATGCTGAAGCCCACAGGCCATGCACGGCTGCACGTGGCTGAGGATAGCTATGAATGCAGCCTAACACAAAATCATAAACTTACTGAAAATATTAGGAGTTTTTTTTAATTTTAATTTTTTGTCTTTTTTGAGACAGGGTCTCCTTGTAGCCCCAGCTGTCCTGAAACTCACTATGTAGACCAGGCTGGCCTCGAACTCACAAAGATCTGCCTGCCTCTGCCTCCCAAGTGCTGGGATTAAAGGCCTGCACCGTCACGCCCGGCAATTAGGAGTTTTTTTGCAATTTTTTTTTTTTTTGTAACTTGACTGAGCCATTCTTAAGTGTAAACTTTGTATTAGATGTACAGGTGAGGCCTGGCAAGATGGCTTAGTGGGTAAAGGGGCTTGCTGTCAAGTCTGACGATCCAAATTTCCTCTCTAGAGCCTTCATGGTGGAAGGAGAACTGACTCCTTCAAGTTGTCCTCTGACCTTCACATATGCACAATGGCACGTGTGTGCCTTCATTCACACACACACACACACACACACTGGTACTCGCTCCTTGGTCTTGCCCATACTGCCCCTCTTTCTGCCCTTCATCTACAGAGTGAGAGACTGGAGTTGGATCTTGTCTTTCTGGGAGTCAAATGTTATTTGGTCCATGAAGTAAAAAAAAAAAAAAATCCCAAGCCAAATGAATTAGCAGCCACATTTAATAACTGACATTTCACATCAATATCTAGAGTTTAGAATTTTCTTAAAAAATAGGAAGTTCTCTCAGGCCCTGGGCCACGGTCCTGCTTGTCCAGTGTTATACCGGGGATTGCTGCCTGAGCAGGGCATGACCCCAGGGCCACAGCTCTGTTCCTCCCTGGCTTCACATCCGGCTGTCTGTCTGGGAGAGGTGACCCGCCAGCTCTATAGGGCAGGAGTTTGCAACCCTTGGCCTCTGTCTCTTTCAGTTGTGCGAGTCTGAGCCATGGGAGCAGCTGGCTTCTATTTCAGGGAGAGGGTCTGCTCAGTGAGTAGCCTGTGCTGGCTGGAAGCAATTACATCTATGTCCACATCACACACCAGGGCTAGAAGAGGTGGTGTTTACAGGGTTAAGCCTTT